AAATCATTGATCGGATGGGCAAATCACAACCACTGAATATAAAATTTTTAAAAATGAAGAAGTCAGCAGTAAAGAAAAAATTTGTGTAGATTTTTTTTAAATGCCCAAATAAAAATCATCAACACTTAGTGTCCTGTGCTAATGGATCTCAGCTGACCGGAGAAACCTGGCCGGGGCTCCGCAGGCAATGCGGGGGAGGCCTGGGGGGGTGTGATGGGAGAAAGGAGGGGGCAGGCAGGGCTCCGCAGGCCAGGCCGGGGGTCCTGGGTGCTGAGGAGCCGTGGCTCAGACCCCCTCGGGTTGCAGGATGGAGGGAGGACAGGGGACGCAGCTGAAGGGCACTATAGGAGAGACAGTCCTGCTGGCCTCCAAGGAGGGGAACGGGGTCTGGCTTAGTGTCCCTAGAGCCTTGTGTCTTCTTCATTTTGAACCATGAAAACACAGTATTCCAGTAACGATCATTTAAGGTGATTCAAAACATATTCAATGCTACTTGTATTAATCCACGTCGACTTAAACCCCTGGCTGTGCGGCTGCATCTGGAATTGTATCTGTGGATGTGTAGTCCCGATCTCAGAGGATAGCGTCGTGGACAAGATGGACCCTCAAGCCAGCTCGCGGGGGCAGGTGGGAGAGGAGCTCAAGAACAGGTAGAGGGGTGGGGCGCGGCTCGGGGCGGAGCATCTTTCTAGCATGCACAAGGTCCTGGGTTCCTGGCACCAAAATAAAACTCAGGGGCAAAGGAAGATGGAAGCAGAGGCCAGTGAGACCCAACCACAACTGCAGGGGCACTGGAGCGTGGGGGGAGGGGGTGGGGAGGCAGGCTGGGGGAGGGGCGGGTGGGGGAGGGGTCCTCCTGGCCTTCTTCCTCTGAGGTGTGAGAAGCATTTCTGCGGTGTGCGGCCACTCACACCTGAGTGGGTCCTGAGGACAGAAGCCACAGGAACTCCTCTCCTACCCTTTGTTTTTATTCAGTGTGGCTTCCACTGCAACGCACACTTTGAAGTACAGTGAACAACAGGGGTCAATTTCTTCCTGCTTTCTGTTCTTAACCTGTCTCTATTCAGGATGGACAAGAACAAGATCTTTCTAGAGGTGATGGGTGTAAACCAAAGGCACAAGGCTAAGACATCACATGACCCTAAACAGTGCAGCCACGAAGCTGCTGTTTCGAAAAAAGCTTTGGTAAAAAATAATAATAAAAAGCAAACCAGGGCACCCAGGGCCAGCCCTGGAGCTTGGACTCAGGTTGGGCATGTCACCCAGGGCCAGCCCTGGAGCTTGGACTCAGCCTGGGCATGTCACCCAGGGCCAGCCCTGGAGCTTGGACTCAGGCCTGGGCACTGTCCCTTAGCTTTTTTGCTCAAGGCTGGTGCTCTACCATTTGGATCACAGCTCCACTTCTAGCTTTCTGCAGGTTAATTGGAGAGAAGAACATCACGGACTTTCCTGCCCAGACTGGCTTTGAACTGTGGTCCTCAGATCTGCTGGGATCCCAGGAGTGAGCTTGCAGTGCCTGGGCTTTCTTCATTTCTCCCATCCAAGTACTAACCAAGCCCACCCTTGCTTAGCTTCTGAGATCAGATGAGCTCGGGCACGTCCAGGGTAGTATGGCCGCAGACGGCTTTCTTCATTGTGATCTGACGCTTGCTGCTGCTCCCTCACTCTGCACGCGGCTGCCTTGTGGCTGGTACTTGGGGCCCAGCAGTGCAGCATCTCCTGCCAGTGTCTCTTTCTTCCTCTCTGGTCTTCCAAGATCGAAGCTACCAAATGACATCCAGCAGTTCTAACAGTTTGTCCTGTTATTTCTGCTTATTATTGGGCACAGGTGACAGCACTTGCTGTGGCAATGAGGTCTGGCTTTTCCCCGACACCTCCCTGACACCCTCCAGCACCATCCTGGCCTGCTCCGCTTGCTCTGTTCAGGTAGGTGGTTAGACTCCCGGGTCTAGGCTGTCACACAGCAGGGATTTCTTTCTGAGTCTGTTCAGAAACACCGGTCGGTTTGTCTCCATGCCTCCATCACTGTTAAAATATTGTTGTAAATGCCCAGGAGTGGGATTGCTGGGTCATAGGGGCGCTCTATGTATAGTCTTTTGAGGAACCTACACACTGCTTTCCAGAATGGTTGAACCAGTTCATCAACAGTACAGTAGCATTCCCTTTTGGCCACATCCTCACCAGCATCTACTATTATGTTTTCTTGATAATGGCCATTCTAACTGGGGTGAGGTGGAATCTCAATGTGGTTTTGATTTGCATACCCAAATGAACACAAACAAGGCCACACTAAAGCTACCAGCACAACTATGTTCACTGCAGCACTATTCACCATAGCTAAGGAACCAATCCAGGTGCCCCTCAGTAGATGAATGGATGAAGAAAATGTGGTGTGTGTGTATACACATACATCCATACACACACACAACAATGGAAGTCTATGCTTCCATCAGAAAGAATGGCATTGTCCATTCGTAAGGAAATGGATGGAAGTGGCGCTGTGGCTCAAGCGGTAGAACGCTCGCCTTGAGCTGAAGAGCTGAGGAATAGTGCCCACGCCCAGAGTTCAAGCCCCACGACCAAAAAAAAAAAAAAAAGTCGTACGGAAATGGGAAGACTTCCCAAAGAAACATAGGCTCCATGGTTTCCCTCATTTGTGATAATTAGTACATGTCTAGGATAGTCCTAGAAGAGAATCACCCTAGCTCTACAGCTATGTACACATGACCATATAAGATGATGCTCATCAAAACGAGCTCTACGACATGGAAACAAGAGGTTTCTTTCCTTTTTCTTTTCAATGTAGTATGTGTCTTTTTTTTCCTTCATTTTTTATCCCCCGTTTTGCTTTATGCCATTGCCACGGTTTTGATTTGGGTCCCTGTGTCTTGTATATATGATCTAGGGAAGGGAAGGGGAGCAGCAAAACGGAGACAAAGGACAAAGGGTGAACAATGCAGCGCGACGTGCACAAGGCGACACGTTGGAGATGACGGGGGGGGGGAACAAGGGAGAGGGCAACAGTGTTTGACAGGAAACGCGCTCATCACGCTACTTACCCAACCCAACACGTTACCCTCACGATACAATTAAAAAAGATGAAGTATGGCAGCTTCCTTGTTTCATGTCGGGAGGGACCTCTTCCAATTTTCCTTTTCCAAGCGGGTTTCTTGGCTGTCTTTACAGTCTATCCTCCACACAAACCACTTGTTAAGTACCGCTGCCAGTCATGGACTGGCAGATGCAAAAGCAGACAGGAAGATACAAGGTGCATCTGGAACACAGTTCTACTCCTGTGAGTGAGGTGTTCGAACCCCATGGGTCCATCAGTGAAGGGACTGGATGGGCCAGGGGACACAAGTCATACCTGCCACATTTGTGTAAGCTGTGACACAGTGTGTGGCTGGTGACATCCACGAGGTCAGACGTGACAGGTAAGCCGTCTATCAATCAGATGTGGCACAGAAACACCGATTCTGGGCACAGATCTGACCCACTTGCACAGAAACAACCTGGTTTTGTTTTCGTTGAAGAGCAGCATGTCCTGGGAATACATGGACAGGTTGGTACTGGCTGTGGATTTTCAGTGGCCCTGTGTGTCATCATGTCCCTTTTTTTTGGAGGGGTGAGGGCTTCAGTGCTGTTTCTGAGCAGTTCAGCTCAAGGTAGCGCTCTACCACTTGAGCCACTTCGTTTTCTGGTGGTTAATTAAAGAGTCTCACAGACTTTTTTGCCCAGGCTGGCTTTGAACCAGGATCCTCAGATCTCAGCCTAAGTAGCTAGGATGACAGGTGTGAGCCACTGGCACCCAGCATGTGCCCCTTTCGCGTGATCTCTGGGTCTGAGAAATAGTCACAAATGTGAGTGTGAACAGCACTTTAACGTCATGATGCCACTGGCACTGCCTCATCACCTGTGCTGCACAGGGCAAAGGGTGGCAACTGGACATGACAGCCTTGCCCCTGCAGCTCCAGCCGCCTTCCTGCAGGTTGACAGCGGGGCCGGCCTGCAGGCGGCCTCCTGCCCGAGTGGGGGCTGTGTGTGCACATGTGCTCCACAGTCAGCGAAGGCCGTGTGTCTGTCTGTCTGTCTACCACCGTTAGCAGGGCATGGCCGGCCCCAAGGCCGTCTGCAGCCAGTGCAGCTCAGCTTGGCTCCACTCAGCAGAGCCACACCCACCACCATGTTCAGAGTGGGAAGTGGCTGACTTGAGAAGGCTGTGTGTGGGTGACCTACCACTCCCCATTTTGTCCAAGAGACTCAAGTGGCCTCCCACAGACAGACGGACCCCTGCCGGCCCACAGCTCAGGGAACACATTAAACTGTGCTAGAAGTGTGTATTGTTTTAGGGTGACGCTAGTGGAAAATCTTGGGAAGTAAAGGGTGGACATCTTCTACACCAAGACTCAAGGCTAGGAGGTGGCCTGTGGGACACCTGTCACACTGAGTTACCGAGGCCATGGTCACCCAGCACACCAGGAAACTGAGGCCCACAAACAATGCACCACTATGCACTGCTCTTCTAGGTGAAGAGAGGGTCTCTGAAGTGGACAGTCGGCACCACTATGCACTGCTCTTCCAGGTGAAGAGAGGGTCTCTGAAGTGGACAGTCGGCTGGGCCTGTGCAGCTGCCCTGGCGGGGGAGCCCCTGCTCCTGGGTGCCGGGTGCCGAGGGATCCTGTGGCTTCCAGCAGGCCGTGGCGTGGGCGGCCTCCACACAGGACCCGGGCCTCACCGCGCCGTGTATCCTGCCCAGCGGGCCTGCTCCGGTGCGGCTGCCTTCCCCGTGGACCAGCGCTCGCTCCCGCAGCACCAGGATCGGCGGGGCGGACCCCCGGCCTCCAGAGCCCCAGTCCTTCAAAGAGAAACGTTCTCCCCACCTTGGAGGGAGGAGGCCGACTCAACACAGGGCGGCGGGGCTGGGACACAAAACACACTGTGTTTATTTTTCTTTGGTTCCCCAGCGGGGAGGACCCCGAGGGCGGGGAGGAGGGCGGGGAGGAGGGCCCGGCGGGGAGGAGGACCGGGCGGGGAGGAGGGCCCGGCGGGGAGGAGGGCCCGGCGGGGAGGAGGACCGGGCAGGGAGGACCCCGAGGGCCCGGCGGGGAGGAGGACCGGGCGGGGAGGAGGGCCCGGCGGGGAGGAGGGCCCGGCGGGGAGGAGGGCCCGGCGGGGAGGAGGACCGGGCGCGCGCAGGCCGGGCTACACCTGCCTCTGCTTGTGCTTGGGGTTGGCCCGGCAGAGCACGAACCAGCGCCCGCGGCGCTTCACCAGGTAGCAGTCTCGGCAGCGCTTCCGGAGCACGGCCTTGGTCTTGAAGCCCAGCGCGGGCTGCAGGCAGCTGGGGAGCGGCGGGCCTCGCGGCGGGGCCGGGCGGGCGGCGAGCGGGGGCCCGGCGGAGAGCGCGCGCGGGGCCGGGCCGGCGGAGAGCGGGGCCGGGCCGGCGGAGAGCGCGCGCGGGGCCGGGCGGGCGGCGAGCGGGGCCGGGCCGGAGGCGAGCGGGGGCCCGGCGGAGAGCGCGCGCGGGGCCGGGCGGGCGGCGAGCGGGGGTCCGGCGGAGAGCGGGGCCGGGCCGGCGGAGAGCGCGCGCGGGGCCGGGCCGGCGGAGAGCGCGCGCGGGGCCGGGCCGGCGGCGGCCGCGCGGCCGCGGTGCAGGAGCGGCTCCACCACGGAGCTCACCAGGGTCCGGAGGAACACGGCGGCCATGCTGCGGGCGCTGCGGGAGACGAGGCGCCTCACCGCGGGGTCCCCAGCCCCCGGCCCCGCGTGTCCCGCCCGGGTGCCCGCCGCCCCGGCCCCGCGCTCCCCCTCCCCCGCCCCGCACCCTCACCCCGGCGGGGCCCGGGATCCCCACGTGGGAAGGGGCTGCCGAGCCCCGCGTCCTACCCGGCTCCAACGCCCGCGTCCGCGCCTGCGCAGTGGGGCGGGGAAGCCGGCTCCAGGAAGAAAGCTGGCAGCGGGTCACGTGGGATGCTCGGCGGCCGCCGGAGGCGCACGCGCGCTGAGGCGCGGCCGCCGGGACCCGGGAGAAGCCGCCAGCCGTTGGCTAAAGGAATCACTGCGGGTTAAAGTGCACACGGACGTAATAGCTGAGCTGGGCACAGTGGGGAGGAGCACTGTGTCGGTTACAGCGAGTGGAGACGGTCGTGTCACATTGAGTTAGAGCGGGAATTGGCAGCCGGGCCTGGGGAGCAGGCGCCTCGGACGCCGGCGTGGTCCGGTGCTGGCACGTGCCAAGGAAGAGGGGTCGCCTGCGACCCCGCAGGGCGCGGGGCCCAAGCTCCCGAACTGCAGTGCGCAGAAGGGCGACTCACAGCGCGCGCTCCATGTCCGCCCCAGCACCCGTCCGTCCGAGCTTCGGCGTTGAGTCAGCTGGGTTTCCGAGGCCGTCGCCCACGCTTCGGAGACTCCGCCTGGGCCTGCGGGCCGGGCTGACTCCCCCGGACGCCGCACTCTCTGCTCCCCCAGCGGACGGGGCGTGCGTGCGTGCCACGCGCTCCCGCCCCCCGCCCCCCGTGCGTGCAGCCGTGAGCCTAGGGCACGTGCGGGCCACGCTCCCCGCCCCCCCCCCCCCCCCGTGCAGCCGTGAGCCTAGGGCACGTGCGGGCCACGCGCTCCCGCCCCCCGCCCCCCGTGCGTGCAGCCGTGAGCCTAGGGCACGTGCGGGCCACGCTCCCGCCCCCCGCAGCCGTGAGCCTAGGGCACGTGCGGGCCACGCGCTCCCGCCGCCCCCCCCCCCCCCCCGTGCAGCCGTGAGCCTAGGGCACGAGCGTGCCACGCGCTCCCGCTGCTGCCCCCCCCCTGCAGCCGTGAGCCTAGGGCACGAGCGTGCCACGCGCTCCCGCCCCCCCCCCCCCCCGTGCAGCCGTGAGCCTAGGGCACGTGCGGGCCACGCGCTCCCGCTGCTGCCCCCCCCCTGCAGCCGTGAGCCTAGGGCACGAGCGTGCCACGCGCTCCCGCTGCTGCCCCCCCCCCCCCGTGCAGCCGTGAGCCTAGGGCACGAGCGTGCCACGCGCTCCCGCTGCTGCCCCCCCCCGTGCAGCCGTGAGCCTAGGGCACGTGCGGGCCACGCGCTCCCGCCGCCCCCCCCCCCCCCGTGCAGCCGTGAGCCTAGGGCACGTGCGGGCCACGCGCTCCCGCTGCTGCCCCCCCCCTGCAGCCGTGAGCCTAGGGCACGAGCGTGCCACGCGCTCCCGCCGCCGCCCCCCCCCGCCCCCGTGCAGCCGTGAGCCTAGGGCACGTGCGGGCCACGCGCTCCCGCCGCCCCCCCCCCCGTGCAGCCGTGAGCCTAGGGCACGAGCGTGCCACGCGCTCCCACCGCCCCCCCCCCCCCCCGTGCAGCCGTGAGCCTAGGGCACGAGCGTGCCACGCGCTCCCGCCGCCCCCTCCCCCCCCCCGTGCAGCCGTGAGCCTAGGGCACGTGCGGGCCACGCGCTTCCCCCCTTCGTCCCCCCCCTGTGAGCCGCGGGTCCCGGGCCGTCCGCAGGGTGAGTCCAGCCCGCCCGCGCGCGGGGACACTGGGACCCCCGGCGTCTGTCTGGCTCAGGCAGGTCTGCGCCTCACTGCTCCCCATTTGTGTCCCCGGACGGAGGCGAGGGCCAGGGAAGCTCCCCTTTACACACAGGAGCTCTTCACTTAGCTTCTGACTTGGATCCAGAGTAAGACTGTCTGGAAAGTCACGTGGTGCGAGACCTTGGCAGAGCTTTGAGTGGACCAGCCAGGAGGGGCCGGCGGGGCAGGGGCCGGGGCCGGGGCCGGCCGCGAACCAGCCAGGAGGGGCCGGCGGGGCAGGGGCGGGGGCCGGGGCAGGGGCCTGGCAGGGGCCGGCCGTGAACCAGCCAGGAGGGGCCGGGGCCGGGGCCGGCCGCGAACCAGCCAGGAGGGGCCGGCGGGGCAGGGGCGGGGGCCGGGGCCGGCGGGGGCGGGGCCGGGGCCGGCCGCGAACCAGCCAGGAGGGGTCGGCGGGGCAGGGGCGGGGGCCGGGGCAGGGGCCTGGCAGGGGCCGGCCGTGAACCAGCCAGGAGGGGCCGGCGGGGCAGGGGCCTGGCGGGGGCAGAGTGCGGCGGCCCCGTCGGGGTCCCTAGGGCACAGGCAGGGGCTGTCTTTGCCCCAGCACAGCAGGGATACCCCGAGTTTCCAGGTCAGAACGCTTCCGGCCGTCATCAGAACAGCCTCAGCCAGAAGCAGCCATCCTGGGGAAGGGCGCTCGGCTGCCGCTCTCCGAAGCAAAGACGGCGCCTCCGCCGTCTGGACCCCGTGTTTCTGAGTCCCGTCTCCGTGTCACCCGGCCTCACGTCCCCGCGGGACTGTTCCCTGTCTCTTAAGGGACGCGAGGGCCTTCCCTGCTCCATCCGGGAGGGCTGTGTTCTCCGTCGGCCCCCTTCGCCCGCCTTCACACGCCCCGACCCCACCCGGCTCCCGTCGTCACCTAGGCCCCGGCTCGAGAAGCAGCAGGAAGAGGGTCAGCAGAGGGGGGCATGGGCCTTCGCCCTGTCCCGGCCCGGCCGTCCCGGCCCCCGCGAGGCTCCGGCCCGGCCACCCTGGGCCGCGAGGCTCCGGCCTGGCCCGTCATGGGCCGCGAGGCTCCGGCCTGGCCCGGCCACCCTGGGCCGCGAGGCTCCGGCCTGGCCCGTCATGGGCCGCGAGGCTCCGGCCTGGCCCGTCATGGGCCGCGAGGCTCCGGCCTGGCCGGGCCACCCTGGGCCGCGAGGCTCCGGCCTGGCCCGGCCACCCTGGGCCGCGAGGCTCCGGCCTGGCCCGGCCACCCTGGGCCGCGAGGCTCCGGCCTGGCCCGGCCCCGCCTTCAAGGGCCGCGCGGCCGCTCCGCCCGCGGGGTTTTGCCGGGCCGGGTGCGAGGCGCCGGCTGCGGGCTGGACGGAATAGCGGTGGCCTCCGTGGCGCCATTCGGGCTCCGTTGCCGGAAACCACGGCGGGCTGTCGCTCGGCCTATTGCCGGGAGAGCCCGCACACGCCGCTCCCGGCCCCCCAGCGCTGTCCCGCGAGGCCGCGCAGCTGCGCACTGCCGAAGACGCCGGCGACATCGCCCGGTCCGACCGCTCCGCGCATGCGCGCGCCGGAATCCCGCCCCTCCGAGGGGCGCGCGAAATAAGTCCCCGGGCGAGTCCCGCGGTGCGCATGCGTCGGTGCCTGGAGCCGCGGCGCGCCGGGTCAAGAGTCGCCGGCAAGATGGCGGCGCTAGCGACCTTCCGCCGACTGCTGGCCCTTCCCCGGGGGGCCCGGAGCTTCGGGGTGCGGCTGTCACCGACGGGGGAGAAGATCACGCACACCGGGCAGGTAGCGGCCGGGGTGATGGCGGCGGGGCGGGGCCGGGGGCCGGCGGGGCTGCGGTTGCAGCACTTCCCGCCCGCCCGCGGCCCTCGCCTCCCCGCGGGGTCGCAGGCGCCGTCCTCCGTCCCCCGGCCAGCTCTAACACCGCTGCCGTAGGCGGGTGAGCCCGGCCCGGCCTCCGCCCGGGCCCGCGGCGGCGGGGGTGGCTGCGTCCCCGCCTGAGGAGTGCGGCCCGTGCCCTCGCCGCGGCCCGCCCCGCCGCCCGCCTGCTGCCCGCTCAGCCCGCGGCCCGCTCGCTGCGCGCCCGCCCGCTGCCCGCTCAGCCCGCCCGCCCGCCCCGCGGCCCGCTCAGCCCGCGGCCCGCTCGCTGCGCGCCCGCCCGCTGCCCGCTCAGCCCGCCCGCCCGCCCCGCGGCCCGCTCAGCCCGCCCGCCCGCCCCGCGGCCCGCTCAGCCCGCGGCCCGCTCGCTGCGCGCCCGCCCGCTGCCCGCTCAGCCCGCCCGCCCCGCCCCGCTGCCCGCTCAGCCCGCCCGCCCGCCCCGCGGCCCGCTCAGCCCGCCCGCCCGCCTGCTGCCCGCTCAGCCCGCCCGCCCGCCCCGCCGCCCGCCCGCCTGCTGCCCGCTCAGCCCGCTGCCCGCTCAGCCCTGCTGCCCGCCCTGGTGCCCGCCCTACTGCCCGCCCACTCAGCCCTGCTGCCCGCCCTGCTGCTTGTCTGCTCCACCCACCCGCCCTGCGCCCGCCCTGGGCCCGTCTGCTCCGCCCGCCCTGCGCCCGACGCCTCAGCCCGTCCTCCCTGCTTCCAGCCTCCTCAGCCCGCCCTGTCCACCTCCTCAGCCCACTTCCTCAGCCCTCCATCCTCCCCTTTCCCGCCCTGCCTGCCTCCTCAGCCCTCAGTCCTTGCTGCAGGCAGAGGTTCCAGCAGCACCAGTCATTCTCCCCTTGGGTGTGAAACTAATTGTCTATGGCCCAAATGCTGAGAAAACCACGTTTTTAACCGTTGCACTCCACACCCCTTTCATGCTGGCACTGTGGCAGTCACCGGGGTCTTTTTCTTCCAGGTCTACGATGAGAAGGACTACAGAAAAGTGCGATTTGTAGGTCGTCAGAAAGAGGTGAGTAAAGATTCGTGATCACGTGGCGCTGTGACTCAGGCTATGAGTCCAGCTGCCTCAGAGGCTGAGAACAAGAGGATCGTGTTTTGAGTCTAGACCTGGGCACTGCTGTTGGGGAGGAAGGTTGTGATCAGAGCCTTCTGCCTAATAAGCCTCCTCGTTCCTCCTCCAACACCCAGGCCTGCCGGCCCTGGCACCCTTCTGACCAGCTTTCCTCCGTGTCTGCTGCCAGTCACCTCCTTCCAACCTCAGCCAGCCCGTCGTTTCTTCTTGTCTCACTATTGTGGTCCTAGTCACCGTTTTCCTGTCCTCTGGTC